GATTTTTGACCTGATCAATGCAATATATCGCTCCGCACGAACGTCTGGGCCTTTTCCCGCCATATCCGCCTACCGCTAGGCACGTTTGGAACGCAGCCAATCAGTGAGCGGGGAACATCGGCTTCGGAAGCGCGCCAAGTTCAAATTGACGCTCCTTCATCACCTGAGCGCGAGTCACGTCTTGAAGCACACCTCCTGAGCCAATCCGTCATAATAGATCGTATTCGATACATCAAACGGGTGAGATTGGATCGATATCGATTGGTTCAAAACATAAACATAGCCTCAAAAGTAAATTCAGAAATCTGAGAGAACGGATCTTTTGAAACAGATTTTTTATTCTTTTGAGTACCAAATGCCAATGCAAAGTGAAATTGTCAGGAAATTTCTCATTTTCAGCTTTTCCAATTAAAATCCTTAGAGTTTGGTTTGAGGTTATGTTCTATTGTTTTGAACCAAACGATACATCGAACCGTTATCGAATACGGTCTATTTTAGTCGGCAATCTCGCACAAACTCGCGAAGCAGGTGAATTTGACCACGGAAAAAACGGTCATTGCGTTTTTCAATCAAAATTGATCCACAATTTCTAACCGTTCCAATGGACTGCAGCGTTTCCCGAGGAATTTCCAACTTCTTTGAAATCTTGACTTGATGCCTGACTCCCTTCATCGGATAAATGCTGCAGCGGGAGCAAGGGAATGACATCAAGACTCAAAACTGGCACCTCAAAATGCGACGCCTACACAAACTCCTCAAGTCCAGGGGCGTAGCTAGGAAATTTTTCTTGGGGGGGCCATGGGACCACCTCTCGTGGTGAAGAGAGCAGGGGGTGGGTGAGGAATGGAGGATCCCGTTCGCCTATGCTCAAGTCGTACCTATTTTACTTTTTAAAAGGAAAACAACTCGTTATAATTTCTTGGACTTTTCTTTATTTTTATTCACCCCGTCACATTTAGGAAATCCGTAAAACTTTCAAACCATTCGTGGTTAGTTTTTCTTTGAAAAAATAAAGTAGGCATGAAAAGAGATTTTGAGCAGCCTTTTTTTTCTGTTTTTAAAGTTATGTGAACCTGTAAATTTCAAAGAGAAAACTCTTAAAAGAAACTGTTCCAATAACCAAGTCAGGAAACATCCCTTATTCTATTCACGTAAAAATGCCACTTAGAACTTTTACAAGTTTTTAATCATTTCTTTCCGTTGAATCTCATGAATTTCACATGAAGTTTTAGTTTATTACTAAGCATGTTTTGCTGGTTATTCCTATGAGTGATTCTCAGAAAGTACCAAAATTTGATGCCAAATTTTTTCAATTATTCTTATAACGAAATGTCAATAATACATTTTCCTAAACTTAAAGAAGAACAAGAGAGGTTTCTTCGCTTGTACCTACATTTTAACATTTTTTTTTTACTTTATTTACAGTCCATTATTCGCACTGCTACTAAGGTTGCGAATTTTGAGATACTTACGAGTTTCTGGAGTTCGGCCATCAATGATATGTTTCATATGAAAAAGGAAGACGCTTATTAACTGCCAATAGGAGGATAAGAAGGANGGGGGGGGGGGGGGGCCGCAGCACACACGGTCGCTATACGTTTATCAGAGGGAGATAAATTTTTATCAAATCTTGTCACTTCTTGCGAAATGGGGTCAGTCATTGAGCGTCATATTTACTTAGGTATACCGTCGTTTGCTCGGGGGTAAGATGATAACTCGTAGTCGTGGACAATAGAGAATGAAACGATTGTCCCGCATCACTCATGAGAGTGAAGGCAAAATCTCGACCTCTCATTTAAAATACCTTCTTCAATTTGGCTTAAATCTGTGTCTCTCAAGTAGTAGGTATTAACCGCAATGTTTCCGTCCTTGACCTGAGAGGCAAAAATGAAGATCTGATTTTATATTTAGTTATTTTTTTTATTACTTTTAGTAGGTACTTACCTGTGTCTCTGCGGAATTTCTGGAATAGTAAACAATTTTAAAACTTCTAGTTTTTTCATTTTCTTTGGTGAACTAAGTTCGTATGTTTAGTCTTTAAGTACACGCAAATTATACTTATGTATGTTACCTAATCGTGGCACTGCGGAATCACTTACTTACTTGGTGCCTTCTGTGTACCTACTAGTTTCGAGAGAGCACTCACTCACTAGAATGCCTATTATGTCTTTTTCCTAACATAATTTTATCTTTAAAGGACGACTTGCCGCCCATGGGCCGCCTGTATTTTGCCGCTCCCTTCTCATTCGTTTTGAAACATCAATTAAACCATCAACTGAACGTGCCGAAGGGGGAGGGTTGCATAAGACGCGTTTACTCGTGTTGGACACATTTTTTTGCGAAAGCCCTGTCAACACTATTAGCACAAGTTCACGGAACTCGGCGCGAAAGTTGAGTTCCGTAAACCTATCACTGTGTGGACAAAGCCTTCCATTTATATGTGATGAACGAAAAAGTTATGAAAGAACAAACATAAATGTGGTTTAATAAGTTAAACTTCCGTCGCGCTGACCGCACTGTGTTTGGCGCAATGCGTGAAGTATTCTTGCAGTCTTGTAGGCGCTATGCGTTTCACGCCGCGCCGCCCGCACTGTCTTTGACGCAATGCGCGAAGTATTTATGCAGTCTTGAAGGCGCTAATATGTGTTACATGCCAACCGCCGCGCCGCGCCGCGTCGAGGGTTTCTCCTTTTCATCTCATCAAGTTCTCGTCATCATTGCTCTCTGCGCCGCGCCGTCCCAGGCCAAATTCCGTGTTCGGTTTCTCTCTTAGTCTTAACTCGACACAGAAAGGTGCTGTCTATTGTATCATAGAACGACAAAATTAGAGATATACTCTCGGGAAATGAGAGAATTTGTCATCTTTTCTCATTTGTATTTTTTTTTTCTGAATCCAATTTTCTTTACAGCTACATTTAAACAAATTGTAAAATTTGCCGCTCGCTAAATTTGCCGCCATGGACCGCGGCCCATATGGCCACCCCCTTAATCCGGCCCTGCGTCCTAGTAGTGTATCTTATTCTGAAAAGTTGACCCAAAAAATGTCGAGAGTCCGCCTTTACTTGGTGCTTTTTTCTTTCTTTTAGAAAAATGTGACGAAGTCAGGCCAAAATGCCTCAAAGATGGAACATCAAATTAATTAGCCCAATAAAAAACAGCTTAGTGTTCAAAAATATTATCTTTTTGCGATTTTGACCGCTTGCTGACGACATTGCACCTAATTTCTCTAACGTTTGAAATGAACTATTTCTGAACGACAGAGCTCCCTCTGGCAACAGCGCCCGCAACTTTTAGGTGTCTTCTTTTTCAGTCCTAGAATATGAAACTGGTGTTCCTCTTGCAAAATGATGCAGAATCAACACATCTAAAGCTGCGGTAAAGTTAGGTCATTTTATTTATTTTCCACCTTAGGCTTAGGGCCATTTCGTGTCAGATTCCACCGAATACAAAGAATGAGAGGGAACTGTGCAAAAACGACTTTGAGATACGAGGCTTTAAACAGCGATTCCTGTATGGAATATATGATAATTGTAATAATTTTCTCCGTTCCTGTTTGCTCTTCCTGTTCCTCTTGAGAACTACATGGCCAGCGTTAAGCACATAGGAGCCAAAGGAAGTGAATTTTGCATGGAGAAAAATGCCAATGGCTGAGGTCTGGAAACACGGATCTCAAAATGCGAGGTTGCACATTTCCTCTCTCAGTTTTCTTTTCCTCAATAAACTGGAAATGAAAGATGCATCTAGAAGAGCTCGAAAGCAGCCTTGTAACGCAACTTTTTTAAAGTGTGGCACTTGATCCCTTCCTCTCAACACTGCTGAGTTATTCACTCAAGAATTTTGGGAAATTTATTCATCAAATAGATTTCAGAAATTGCTGACTAGTTGTAACGACAATGTTTTAATTGTCTACTTTTTAATTTTTTATCTTGAAAAACCAAAAAACAGGTAATCACAGAGCATAATAGATCTTTACGGTTTTTTCTCCCCCTTTGAAAATGAGCACCATAAATGAATTACTCTCATAGAGAGAAAAAAAGGAGGTGTTCGCATTTCGGGCATCTTGGAATTTTTTTGATGACGTGGGTCGGTGCAGCGACTTTTGTCATCGATTTTCTTGGAAATGGTGTAATTTATGGAGAAAAGCCATTCTACAAAAAGTGCTTGAAATTTTATCATGAGTTGATTTAAGCAAAAAAATGGGACATTAAGGTCCATTTTTCATACTTCGAATTCCGGATTTCGTTGGCCAGGTTGTGCCGACCTACGCCACGGGGTAAACAAACCTCAAGATGCAAACACCTCCTTTTTTTCCTCAATGGATTACTATGGATTTGCTATTATTTCTTTTGTTTACATTTGAGCACCCGTAAGAAATGATGCTGAATATTTTCCTTCAAAGGAGGTCAGAAATACTTCTAAGTAAGGTTTTTTTTTTAATAGTTAGACTTTGGCGCTGGGGAAGTCTGCTTCCTTTTTGAGAATAGGAAGAACAACCTCCCGAAAGTGCTCGACTCTTTGAGGTCGTTAATGCAAGAAGAGACTCAGAGCTACTTGGTTGGGCGTTAAACCTGACTTAAATCAACAAAAAAAACAGGCTACGGAACTAAGATAGCATAATAGTTTTACGTATTATTCACCGACTTTGCATCATCTTTACGAGTTGGACACTTCGGAAAAATATTGGTTTGATTTGGTCACCTTACCTAATTTGCTCTCTCCCCACTAAAAACTGCTTGACAGTTTTCTGTTGATTTTAAAATACATTTGTAGTGGTTTCTTCTTGCATTAATTACCCTAATTTTTCAGATATTTTGGAGCAGAATGACTTTTTCTCTTCAGCAAGTTATTTTATATCATTTGTTGGCTTTTTACTTTGTGCTTACTTTTAAGTACTATCAATGTGCAAAAATTTAATTATGGAGGGAAAAATTACTCTTGGCTCATGGTTGAAATGGTGAAAAGGGTGAGCGAGTATGGTTGGTCATAATTAAAAGGCAGAGTTTCATGAATGACAATCTTTTCACTTTAATAGTTTGTCTATTTTTTCTTAAAAAATGCATTTAGTATTAACAAAACTTCAAATGTACATAAAATATACAACTGTATACAAATAGAAAATCTTATGTTATTTACAATAAAAATACTACATTAAAAAATATACGCAATAAATAAAGTTGTTCACTAAAAAGAAGAGCCACCTTTCCTCCGTGAGTTTGGAAGGAAAGGTCAAAACAAAACAGAAAACAAAACAGTTTCCTGCCAAAATTAGTAGACAGAGAAATGATTCAAAAAGAAATAAAAAGAAAAATGTTGGAGCACAAGGAAAAAAATAAATTGATAAGGAGCCCTGAAAAGTGTTTCGACGAATCAAATTTTGAACTTAAAAATCTCGAGAATTCAACATTAAGGTGATAGATGGCTGTGAAACTGACTCAATTTAAGTTTAGAACAAAATATAAAAAAAACAACAAAAAAAACATTCGCCATCAATGATGAGAGAAGCTCCATGAAGACATTTTCGGCCTTTACAAGAGCCGATCAATTAGCAGAGTTCTTGGACAGAGAAAAATTAAGAAGCTAGTGTTTTTCAATAACATAAAAGTGGCCTTGTCCTCTTAATAGTGCTGGATGATTCAGCTACTGATACGGGAAAGATACTGATTTATTCTCTCCCATGTGAAGAAAGAAAAATCTTGAGACAAGGAGAGTAGACATGAGTAGGATGACAAACCTTCGAGAAAAATCATAAAATAAACTTAGCCAAGCCTTACTATAGAGAGAAAAAATTACTATTAACCTGGCACTTGCTCATTCTGAAATGATACACTTTATCCTTAGATGGTCATTAAAAATCCTCCGGTAGAGGTAAATCTTGAATGAAAATTTAAATACAAAACAACTTTAGATGTTAAAGTGACTTTGGAAGTTGAAAACATCTCAGAAAACAAGTTTTCCACAAATTCAGTCCGCAACTGATTCAACTTCTACGATTGAAAAAAATAGCGAGGGTGGTTCGAAACTGCTTTAGTAGAAACTCTTCGATTGACACCATCGATTTAAATTTTACAGGGCTCTAGGAATAGTCAAAATTTACCAACATAAAAATTCATCAACGAGATTACTGACTTCCAGAAGAGAGGCTATTGACCAACAATAGTTGCTCCATCATTACGTGTGCTTGGGATGAGATACGAGTTAGAGGCCAACAGGCACTTCTCACTCCGTAGGAGTCTTAAAGGGTACTTGATCGTGGTCGTCAGAGCTCAACGTTCAAACGAATATCTGAACGTAACATAAGAGGTTCTGGTGTTCCAATGTATACATAAAAATGTAAGATTAATTTGAAAAGATATACCTACTATCAAGGAAATAAATTCTATCATTTCAAAGGAAGAGTCTCTAAAATTGACTTCAGATCAAGAAGAAGTTTTTTGTGCACTTAAGACCTCTCCTTTTCTATTGCAGTGTAATTGTGACAGCCTGGAACACCAGAACCGAGGCTGACGAAAATGGGTGGACTCGAATAAAAAGTTTCTACTCTCACTTTCAGACATGAAATTTGTACGACACGAACAAGGCAGGGATGGTGATACTTTATCGGGAAGATACAAAACCACCTTTAGACTAACATTAATGATTGTAAGAATTATATATGAGCAAGCTAAGGTACCAATGATGCTCATAAAAGGTAAACTGAGAGTTTTTTCCTTAAAATTAATTACAGGCCTTAGGATATAGCGTGACAAAATCCAAGATTACAGAAAAATGTAAGACAAGGAGGCCTTATGTCACCGATGGATTTAAGAAAATTGGTATGAGACGCAACTGATCAATTTTTTTAAAGATGGGAGAGAAGTTGTAAAAAGTACTAAGTGTACTGCAATTGAAAGGTACATACAAAAATCATGAGGGATCAACCCTGTTAACTTGAACTGATTTTAAAGTGAGCTAACACACCAGACAGGTAAACAAATTTTGTGCTACCTAAATATAGTATACTATAAATCAGATAAGATTCATATACAGGAGGAGAAAAGATCAAATACAAATAGAGGTACATGAGTGACATTAATTACACATACATTCTTCACAAATTACTTAAAATGCTGCTAAAGCTGGCCAGTAAGTCGCAACAAACTAGACAGAAACAGTAAGTACTTTGAACTGAATAGGATTAATCAGTTACTAAGAACAATAATCTATGGAGGGACGGGAAAAGAAAATTTGGAAGTTAAGACAGTGTGGGTCCTTGGATCATTAAATACAGGAGAAAATACCAACTTTTCTCGTACTAGGGCAATTAACGACTAAAAACGTGAGGAGTTGAAAGACACATATTACTAGCTAAACGGGCAATTCAAAAGAGACTCTAGATAGGGAAAGAACATCAGAGAATTATAGTATAACTAGATACCCTGATAGCATATTTTTCACTGTTGCTTAACCTCCAAATTTTTTTATCTTGGACCCAATGTCTTGTGACAGAAGAATCGGTTTTGTGTTGCATGTTTGTAACAAATTTAATTCTGGGCCCAGATAATGACTGACTTGAACCCGCGAGAAAATTCAGAAAGACCCGAGAAGTCGAACACTGTGGGTACATTATGCAGCAAACCTCTTGAAGCCGACTTAAGTTAACAAAAATATTGATATAAAACATGGGACATGCAAAAGTTCGAGGTTTATTTTTTGATAATAAATGGCATAGATGCAAATAAAAACATTCAATATCTTTAAAAAATTTACTAAATTTATCTACTCTTCTCGTCATTAAGGTAATTAAAATTTTGAATAAAAACCAGGATTAAATCAAGACTAAGAGGAACTTTCTTAAGATGATTCTAAAAAAATTGTGCATAAGTAGGCATGGCAACAAGACTTTAATAATGGAAAATAGTAAGCAGGTACTTGAATTTTTTTTTACCATCATAATTTAATGATTATCTTCTTTTTTAATAATATCAAATATTATATTATGTGACTATTCTTTCTCCTGAAATTACAAGCAAAAGAGCAATTGTAGACTTATGTCGTTTCATGCAAGATATTTAATATTCTCACATATTGAAAGTTAATTTTCAAACAGAAGGTGCTAAAAAGCATAAAATAGGTACAAAACGTATCCAAATATTACTGAATACGCACTCTTCATTTTGCAGTTCATTGGAGTATTACTGGTCATCTGTCTCCTACGAGTCTAACCTGGATCGCAACAGCTTAATAAACCGCACTATGAAGACTGAAAGGAATTGTTCACAACTCTATTATCTTAATCAACTTGATTTTGAGAGTGGCTGAAATTCTAATGCAGTCCTCCACTAAGTACACTCTCTTTTGGCCTCTTTCTCTGTCAGTAGGGTTGAAGCATCTTTTGAAGTCTAGTAGGAGGTTCGCATTTTCCTAAGCACTTCATACGTTGTTGGATGCTCAGATGGAGCTAACACTTTTGTACTGGAAATCAGATTTCATCACCTACTTTTAGAATTTCCAAAATTGTTGGTAGGAAACCTCTTCCAGTGAAATTTGTATAGTTGCGAATATGAAGAGAACTTAGCATATTAACTAAGTAGGTACTGCACAAGTTTCCTTTGATATGCCTGTTATGCACTGATTTATTAAAGACAATATTTACAGCACAGCTGTTTGTCATTAAGTGAGTCACAAAGAATAGAGACAGGAGATAAAGAAATGAAATAAACGCAAATAACTGAAGGAATTTCTAGTGTCAATGATGTGGCACAACAAGTGACAGGGCTACCCCAGTTAATGTTAACAGTTAAAACCAATCTCTAACACGGGATTTTTTCAACCAGTGAATGATAATCGACTAGTTGCCAATATGCTTCATGTAAAAAGGTTTCACTTACATAGGTACTGCTTGTCTCCATCTCCTGCTACAGGTAACCAACAGATAGGTACAAACCTTTAAAACTGGTTACCTACAAGACAGCTTTGAGAGTGGTAGAATGAAAGGGGGAGGGGGGAGGGGAGATGATGAAAAAATGCAGAAACATAATACCTACAGGTCTTATGGTAACTATAAATATGAATCATCATCCAGTAAAGAATGAAGAGAAAATAAATATCCTCATCCAATGACAAGATGAAAGATGAAGTATAGGGGAAAAATACATTAAATTCAGCAAAATAATAGAACGTAAAAACTTGGAGAGATCAATCAGCCACTTATCACTTGTTTACCCAAGCATGATAAATGACCGCAGAGAAAGGTTTCAAAGATTGATAGGAAATCTTGGAGGCTAGCTTCAAGCCAAATGTCTTTCTAGCTGACACCTCAGTTTCGACAACATACGTTATGTCCCAATACCATCATGTTAAAATTTTACGCAGAGGCACCTTGGATCTCACTGCAGAGTGAATACAATTTCGCAAGACTACTAAACTTTTGCGCAGCAAATAAGTTGACTTTTCAGTGCATTCACAAGAGATGTTATAATACGTAGGTATCATTGGTCCAATCATGCCAAGAAACCTTTAACTAGGGCCTCGTAGCATTGGACTATTGGCAGCTTGTAACATAACATAAAATAACAAAATTCAGTAACAAAACTTCAGATTCTTAGGAAGAACGAAAAGAGAATTAAAATTTGAAATTTGTTAAAATTTTACACATGGCAAGTTCCAAAAATTAAAATAGTAACAAAATCCTTACTAGACTGTCATTGCGATGAAAGGCCTCTGTTGTAAGACATCTACACCATCTTTTGCTTGAGCTGAGCATAGGTCAGGAGTTGAAGAAGACCTTGAAAGTTTGGATAATCCATTTGCAAGCTCTGTTCCATTAGATGCGGCTGCAAAGCTTCCAAAACTAAAAATTGAAACTAAACTAGTAATGCGGTCAATTTCAGCACCATTTTCTTCACTTGTACAGTCTGAAAGCAGTGATGGCTCCGAAAATACAGAGTCGTCTCCTTCCGAACTCGGGTCCAGGGATAGCACATCTGCTGATGATTTCACTTTCTTTGGAAGTATCGACAAAACAGCTTCTTCAGTTTCCCACTCGGTTACAGCGCGCCGCCTTTTCAGGCATTTGGTATGAGGTCGCTCTCTTAAGATAACTACATTTTCTCCACAAGGACTTTTCGCACTGTCCAAGTCTAGGTACGTTGGTGCCTCAGAGGCAGGGGCTAAGTTTTCTTTATCCGAATCACATTCAGGTACTGTTTCACTTTCACTAGGGCATCGCGCATAAGAGGTGCAGTTAGGGAGGAATGATGGAATATCACTAGAGCTTTCAACTAAATCTGTACTAGAGGAGGTTTCAGACAAGTCTGATGGACTATACGCTTCTTCCGCAGTTAAACCTACGAGGTTGTCATTGTCATCGTAGTTACTGTATTCTTGTTCACTAGCGGGAGTTGATGGACTTGGGCTGTAATTTTCGACGGGTGCATGCACCATTTGGTACGCTTGTTCCATGAACACATAACGGGCCTTGTGTAAAACCGTTGCGACTAACAGATTTTTGTGCAAACTTACACCTCCACGCTGAACACGGGATTGAGCGATTTTAGACAGCGAAATGCTGATGAGTCTCTGAGCATCGGTCGCCATGATAATTAGAGTAAAATACACCGGTTTGTCCAGAGCACGTTTCCTTGTAAACACAATAAACACAACAACAGTTTGCAGGTTAAAATCGTCGCGCTTGAGAAAGCTGATTCATCCAGTTCCGGGGCACAATTTAATCCAAAGCGGTAATCCCGTCGGCACAGAAACACGATTGATCACTCCGCGTCGATCAACATAATTTGCTACCAAGTTACAATAACTTGTATCACTGCAAATATTATTCTTTAACTTCACATTAGGGAGCACGATTTCACGGAGACGCGAAGGACATCGTGTCCGCGGACAGGCTTCGACAGTAATGGCGGTTAAACGGCCGCGCTACCCATATAAGTAACTTTCCGTGTTGTGACGTCACAACCTACTTTGTTGGCCAATCAACGGACGGCCTTCGTTGGATTTTTGAACGAACCACTGCGCAGTTACCCCCACGCACGTAGCTCCTCGCGAGGCAGTGTACCAACTTGACAGATACATATTGAACTGCACTCGCTTGCAGGTTTTCATAGCTCTCATCGCCATTGGCACTAAAAATTACAACCACTTTGCAGTAATGTGGACGATTTACTTAGTTTTTTCAGAAGAATGTAAGCAGAATTGAAAGAAGTAAATGGAATGATCTCTTTACTCACAACGGGAGTGAATAATCCTTTTTATTACAGCTGAAATGAAAGGCTCAAAAAAGAGTACAGTAAATGAAAACTGAAAAGAAAGGGATGTTGCAATTTATCAAGTTATCACAGAGAAAAATTAATAATTTTGAGGGCAGAAATTATTTTCTCCCTTCCACCATACCAATGGCCTATATCGACAGCGTAAGTCCGCAATCACAAATCTTATTGGCGGAGTTTGAAAATCTCCGCCTCTGTTATTTTATGAAAAAAGAAAAAATTGACATCATTCCTTGAAGTTTTTGCAGAATTTTCTTCGCACAGCGAATGCCGTTTGAGTAGTTTTCGGTTTAAAATATAAAGGATGACAGGAAGTCTGCAACGTCACAAACTGAGGTATGATGTGATTGCCGACTTGCACCGTCGATATGCAAAAAGCATATGATGCAAGTTTTTCGTGTATTTCGTAAATTAAAAAATATGACTCTTCAAATTTTCTTCAATTTTTCCATTCAGCACTGCCAGGTTTGACTATGTATCTTAGGGACACACTTTCCTGCTGACTAACATGATTACGAATCATTTCTAACAAAGTTATTGATGAATAAGGAGCTTGAGCTAAAATTTTGCTGATAAAAATAGCCGACCACTACCTAACAAATAGTTATTTGTGGTTATTACCTCTTCATTATGCGAGTGATGATCCAAAAGATTGAACAGAAAAAACATGGGTTACTTAGTAAAAAAATTTAATGGTGCTAAAGAATTGAGTATAATAAAATGAAATATCACATAAATTATGGTTGCATGGAAATTTACAAATGGTCTCGTGAAATGGACAAAGAGAATGAAAACATAAAAAGTCAAAAAGCATAAAAAAATAAAAACATTCATCATTTTAATTTTCTTTGATAGAAAAATCAAACTAGTAATACTTGAAGGCAATTAAAGAAAATGTTTAATGTTTTAAAAATTTAAAGGAGTTTCCACATAAAGGTCTTTCATGAATTATGCCATGCTGAAGTTAAGTATATTAGACCTGCTCCTTTGTTGTGCATATTCAAACATTAAAAAATACTGGTCTTGAGCATAGCATCATAATACAAAATACTGACAACAAATTTATGGGATGTACAACTTTGAATTGCGATCCTTCCTGGATTGCTCATTGGAAAATATTTTATGCACAAAAAAAAGTACCTGATTAAACGAATTTTATTTAAAGTTCTGAACCTCTTTGGGAAGTTCTGTTCTGGTTTGTCTCATCAATCACCAACACCAATGGTCACTGTTGTTACCAGATTCGACCAATCAAATCCGTTGGTTTTTGTAGGTCGAACCTTTTTTAGAACCACCTCACGAGGTGGTACCAAAATCACGCACCAACGTTGCGATTCGTTCGTCACCAAATCAGAAGTTCCGAACTCAAATGGAATAGCAGCTCGGCAGTTCAGGCACAAAAGTAGTATCGTACCTCTAAATAAAATTCGCTTATTGAGGAACTGATTGAGAAAAATACACCACAGATTTGTAGACAAGGAATTGGAAACAGACTGACAAGAACCAAGGTGAATGAAACTAACCTATACTCTTACCGCATTCAACAAAACACAAAGTTGCTTTGGTTTTGCTTCAGTCTTGGCAAGAAGTTTGGCCCATGTGAAAACGCAGACCAATGAAAATCGAAAATTGAAAAATATTTGAGCTTTCTGCCAAGACAGAAAATAAACCAATGCGAATGAACGTTTTGTTGATTTTGGCTTCATTGTAAGAACTAAGACCATACCTTACTTTCCCTTACCTTGGCAAGAACCACTGCCAGGGCTTGACTGGCTTAGTAGAAAATGTGGTCCTGAGTACTTTCCTTCCTTTTTCATTATTGATACAACTGGATAATTGTAGGGATATCTTTTTATCGTGATTTTTGTGGTTTTACCTTAGCATTCCGAATCCTTACTCCGGAGTCATATGCATTGTAACATGAGAGCTTCATTTGATTCATCAAAGAGCCTCTTATGTCATCTGCACCTCAGATGACCCTGTTCAGCCCTGAACATTATCATGGTCCGGGGAGTTCTTATGATTACAAGTGCACAATAGCATAACTTTTGTTCCTGGTTCAAATACATGGCCAAAAAGTACATTGGGCAGTGGGCACATACAAAAAACAAATGAATATCAGAAAGACTTACGAGATCAATGCAAAAAAAAAAATTCTTGTCTACTCTTTTTGCTGAGTATTCTGAGGGGCGTAGTGCAAGAAAAGTCAGTGCGAAATGTTTGAAGGAACAATGAAGCTTGAGCAGTCACAACTAAGACACTATGTTACTGGAAACCTGGAAAATAAGATAATGAGAACAATTACAACGGCGACAGAAAAATTGTGATTTCCTTGTCAATATTATGTTAAATGAAAAACGCACCAGGCTGCAAAAGCGCTTTTAATGGATGAAAAACGTTAAAACATGCGTTACTGGACAAGTCCTCCTATTTTCGTTTGTAAGTTTAAGGGTTGTCGCAAAAAGGATTGGGGATGCATGATGTAGGATTTGCAGTTTTGAGAGATTGAAGAAAAATATCATTACACAGTTTTAATAAGGCTCTAGACAACATAATTACAGCTCTAATGCAACCTTTTGGGGATTTCCTGCTCAAAAATTTGCTGAGACATAGCATGTAAAAGTTATCTTCTTGCGCAGCTACCAGTGAGATTTTCAGAATGAGGAGGGTACCCACAGCACACTCGCAACCAACTTAAATACTGCCTTTAAAATAGCTAAGGACCAAAATTTCATGAATAATCAGCGAGTCACAGGGCTTATGCATAATATAACTGATGGTCATTTTGAATAAATCTGCCATTAAGGCTGCTTTTTAAGTATTTAATGGCAGTAGACGGATGCGCCGGGATAGGAGAATTTTGTCTCTGGCTTTCTTCAGGGAAAAATGAGTGCTAATAGAGAATGTTTCTCTCATTATTACATATTTTACAGTACACAATTTTTATCTCTTAACATGTAAAAGTTTGAAGTAAGAAACAGTATGCATGAGATCGACTGAAAAATATTCTCTTTCCCCCATTCACAGATTCATCACAAAATATGCTAGGAGGTTGTGGGATCTGACTGATTCTGTGCCACCAGTGATCAACTCATTAAGAATTGCAGCAGTTCCCATGGTGGCTTGTTTAAGCAAGACACATTTTTGACCAGAGTTCTCATGTCATAACTACATTTTATTTTGTGCGATGGTATTTTCACTTGAGGATTCATTTGCAACTCAGCTTTTTTTCCAGAGAGAAGACATCATTGAGAGTTAGTAACATGGCATGAAGGAAAAAAAGGCTTTCTTGAGTCATAGAGTTATAATTGGACCACGTTAAGCAGAGAGGAACCAAGCCACATCAGCTATTGCCAAATTGAATTGGCAGTTTAATTTTTTACATGAAAATGGCTGTGCGGATTTTTGTGCCAATACCAGCGAATTTTCTGCATGGTAAAAAACAAATTCCTTAAAATTTTTAAAAGAATCCTCACAAACGTTCTATTGTAAAAAATTGAATTGCCCAGTTAGATTTCGCAATAGCTGATGCGGCTTGGTTCCTTTCTGCTAAACGCAGTTCTATTATGCTGTCAAAGCTCTGTTGAACAAGCATGTCAAATTTTTTTCTCTCTCTCTCAAAAGTGCAAATGTTGCTTTAGCTGTTGGGACACCCTGCTCATTATACTTTTAGCTTAAGGAAAAGCTCCTCCTTACTTAAGGAAAGCTGCAAAATATTTTGCAGAGCATTTTTAGGAGAGAATCTCGATTCCAGTAATTTGCCTCTCAGGAAAGAATTTTGCTAGGTATTAACATTGACTGAACGTCCAAAACTGACCCGTCCTTTTTCTAAAGATGACTGTGACTACAAAAATAATAGATTAATTTTAAAGTTTAGAGGCAAATTCAGTTGAAGTTATTTGGGGATTCATTTGTAAGATGGAAATTTTAAGGAGAACTTAAAAATGCTGCCACATGGACAAGAATTAGTGGAAGTACTCCAAAAAATCAGGCACTGCAGAATTCATATTTCTGATGATTTGTTACCTAGGAAACACATTAGAATACGACCGGATAGTTAGAGAGCTTTAATACCACTCTTGCGGCCACTACCTACTTACATGGGAGACTCTTACTGAGAAAACAGACATCAAACTATGGTGCGTTGTTGCCAAAGTTGAGATAGATGCATTCATTTGGCTAATGGTAGTATAAAAACAACCCTCGATGGGCGCAATTTTTAGATGCTCAGATGATGCAATGTGTTTCATGACTTCGCCTTAAAATCAGCTGAGAATTTGTGGCAACATATGTTCAGTCTTATAGCACTTTAGTTACCCAACCGTAATTTTGTTTTTACAGCTTTCTTTCAATCGCAGACTTTGGCTTGAAATCAGCTGATAATATGTAGGCATGGGTGAGGACCTCTGACACCTCACTTACCAGCCGCAAATATGTCTTCCCTGCAGCTGTCTTTTAGAAGTTCACCCGAATTCGTTTAAAGTTTTCAAATTTTCAAAAAAAGGCATAACGAGCACTGAGGATTGAACGTCGCTTAGCATTATAAGGGAGAAAGATTTAAACAATGCAAAATACATTCATTTGATACTAGAGGAAAATAAAAAAGTTTAATGAGTTACCGAGAGAATTTCATAGTTCATCATGTGTGGTTGATTTTAATCTATCTGGAGGAAAGGCCCAAAATGATGACGGAAAGCCTCTAGCATCTCTTTCTCGCTTGACAAAAGCTGTGAACGATGAAATGCAGTTACCAATGAACTGATTTGATCTACCTAAAATTGCTAGATCCAGATGAGGATTGTTATGATCTAGCTTTGCAAAAGTTAACTGAAAAATAAAAAAAAAATTAAATTAAGTTAAATTTGTTACAATGAAGGTTAAAAGTTGCAATAAAGAAAAGAAGGATACTTACATAGGCTAAAAATGTACCTAGCCCGGATTGTACGAAACATTGTGGGCTAATAGTACTAGTTGAAAGAGGCTTATCCCTAGTTAGTTTTTTGCAGGAGCCCCAGGTCAACAGCATTGCCATTTTGTAAAGCCGTAACCTTCAAACATCCATAACTTTCACGAAAATGCAGTTACAAAGCTCGTATTTATACCCAAAAACGCAGAAAATTACTCTCTATCGACCTCTCTGCAACAGCAATAGTGCCTGATCATGTGCATATCAAGATCAATGAATCCAGGTCTCTTGCCAAAACTGCTCTTCAGATCACTTGGGTGATTCGGTAGCTTGCAATTTCAGAATCTCGTTTTTGTCGGGCACTACTGCCGTTGCAGAGAGGATAGAAGATACTGTTGATTCGATAAAGCAACAGTACTAACTACAGAGTGAGGCTGCATGTATGTATGTGGCTGGATGTGATTAAATGAGTAGTACATTTTTTTTGTAATTGCGGTGGTGGTTTTCTTGAAAACTGGCAATTCCACATCTACATAAATTCCTGCGGAAATTGAGAAATGTGAGCACCATGTCGAAAATGGTCAGTTTATGTTGAAATCTGTAGCTGGACATAATTGAGTGATACTTTAAATTGTGTTCGCAGCGGTGCTTTTCATTGAAAACCAGCAACTCCGCCGCAACGTAAATTCCTAAAAATCATATCAAAGTTTCAAAAAAGCAGAAGACATGAATTGACTTTTCAAATTTTGTATAGTTTAGGCGTTTTGCTTCAACACAGAATCGCAAAACGCACTGGAACGAGCGTCAAAGTAGGGTGTTAGACGTGTTGTCAAATTTTTAAATCCCTTAATTCGTACTCCTTAGGACTCTCAGAAAAGTACAGCATATCAATGGATGTGGCATTGAACAAGCAATAATTCCGACAGGTTTTTATTCAATCCCCACAAACTGCAAATGCTCTTTTCGGCGGTAACATGATTTTGAATAATTATGAACATTAAAAATATGGCCAAAACGTGGCAAAAGTGGACTAAAATTAAAAAATCTTCTACATAGGTCAATAGAGCATAATTTTCTGCTTTTTTGGGTATAAATACGAGCTCTGTTATTGCATTTTAGCGAAAGTTATAGATGTTTGAAGGTTGCGACTTTACAAAATGGCAACGTTATTTCCCTAGGGCTCCTGCAAAAACCCAACTAAGGATGAGCCTCTCTCAACTAGTACTATTAGCCCACAAAGTTTCATACTTTCCGGACTAGGTAAATTTTTCGACTACATGAATATCCCTCTGTGATTTTTTTTCCTAATGATAGATGATTCCTCCATGTGATACTCAGTTGAAGAAGGTTCCAGTAGAGGAGTCCATAATAGTCCCGGTGCGCTCGTTTCTCAGAGCAACGACTATTTGAACAAACAGCAGGATGGCTGAGAACATTGCTACCTACTTGTCTAGATGAGATAGTTTGGAGGGACAAACTTGCCCATGCATTATGAGCCCTTTTTTCACAACTCTCATCAATTCCTTTCTTCCATATGATTAATTTTCGTTTTCAGGCACTTCCTCTGCCTAATCCATACTAACATATACTTTTCTGAGGAGCTTCGATACAGAAACAGACTATAAAAGGATGATTAATAAAGTTTTTCACATTTTGAGATTCAAGTGGGAACATTCCTGTGAAATTCTTGGAACACTTGAGAGATTTCCTGTTTAAAATAGTTTCTCTTTTCTTAAATTCTTCACAAAATGTTGGAAAAATTTCTGAGCAAGCATTGTTTTGAATTCTACATAGAAGAACACATTTACACTACTAATTAAACAGAATGAGGCATAACTTACATTCGTACTCTTGAAGGCAGTCTTAAGGTCTTCAATCATATGATTACTATCAGACGATACAAAAATAGAGGCAACATCTTTCATAGTACGATAGACGCGCTTTAGTTGTTTTATGATAATGTCTTTACTGGGTAAACACATTTCTTTTGTTGCAGGTCCATACTGGCCTCGATAACCTAGGCACTGGGCTGCAGCAAACAACATTGGACTTTGAGGGATATGTTCACAAGCACGTACCTGTAAGGAAAAGAAGAAAATAGTTTACTAGGGACATGTTAAATATAGGGTCTCTCAAGTTCTTTGCTGAATAATCAGGCAATCAAAATTTTTCTTCCACTAACTTTCGATAGGCAGGCAGATTTATGCGATTGAACATTAATTGTACATCTAATTCGGACAGATTTAACTGCGATCTAACTACATTTCATGTTTTCTAATTTTCTCCCAAAGTTAATGTTTTTGGCAAAAAGCCAATCAACATGATGCCTTGAAACTTGCTGTAAATTTCTCCTGGCTTACAAGGAATATTGACGGTGAAATTACAACAATGCCTATCTTGGTTTGCGGTGTTGCAGAGTTCCTGCTACACTTCATTTTCTGGGAACCTACTCAACATCATTTCTTGAAAACTTGGGTGATTTTACTTCTCTGTGTGGAAAATATCCTGCAAAAATTTCAGGAAATAGTGTTTGTTTGGTTTCTATTCAAAAAAAAAAAAAAAAAAAAAAAAAAAGAAGTAGAGAATTTAAAAAACTTCAACCTAAATACACATTTGTGCAATTTAACCGTCGATATACTCATGAAGTCTTGAGTCAGTGCGTGAAGTATTTTTCCATTGAAAAAATAAGACATAAAAGGAAATTAGACAACGTCTTATGTAGTCAAGCTTATTTTAGTTAAGTTGGTTAATGCAGCTGTTGATAAAAATTGGAAAAAAAAATTATGATAACTTTTTTTTTTTTTTTTTTTTTTTTTTTTTTTTTTTTTTTTTTTTCTTTATTGAAAGAATAGAGGACTACATGGTATTAACTCTATTTCTTATAACTAGGAACTAAGAACTACTTTTACAATAATGGGTAGGCTGGTACGACACCGGCCCTATCTAGATTACAGAATGTACAGGTGCTGTACATTACGAATGATAACTTGAGGGAGCTGATAACTGGTTAAATTTGTTACTTCGTGGTCAAGAATTGCAACACTTCGATTTTGAATTCCACTCAGAGTTTAAATAGCAACAAGACAGACGATTCAGTTCTGACTTTACGCTAAAAAATAGTATATATCATGGTCTGCTGTAAATAGGGGCATACTACATGAGAATATTCCAAAAAGTCAGCTACCATTCCATTTTGTCACAGATGAACCATTCTCTCGATTTTTCGGAAAAATTGTGCAGTTTTCCATCAGCGAAAGACCCCCTGAAGTTTCAAAATCTGTGCCACGTGTTGTCGATTTGCTTTAAATACAATATATTTGAGGAGATGTTGCAACATAACAATGTGACCTTCCACATCCGTCATTGCTAAATTATGTCTTACATTTTTACTTCACTCTCCTGCAAAGCAACAAAATTGTTTGCAAGCAACAAAAAAGCAACAAAAGCAGCAAACTCGCCAATGGTAACCAAAAAAGATTTTAAACATCCACTTGTATCTTCCCATTGCCAGTCTTAAGCATGGGTTAGAGGGAAAAAAAAGAAATTATCAGTTACCTGAAAATTACATTTTCTGTGGGTAGTTTTTATACTTGAAATACCTGTCCAAATCGCAGAATAAAGCCCAACTGTTTTCCCATTCTGTTTCTCGCCACCAGCCAACGACTTTACCCATTTCACAGAATGAGCAACTGTGTTATCAGGGTGTAACACATTCACCCCACGCACGACCACAGGTGCTTATTTGTAAAAGTCGTCTTTCAAACTGTTCCTCTTTTTGCCTTGTTATGTGTTCATTTCTTTATAGTTTGTACACCCTTCCATTTTTGTCAAATGCACGTCATAACTGAAACCAGTCAGACTTGTAGTCAAAACCACTCTTCACGCATGTTGTAAAAAAGAGGGTGAGAATGTTCAGAACAAAAAGTGTTAAAGTGTACGATTATGTATCAACATACGCACCCAATCGATACCATTTCGCAAGTGAAGTCCTATGAAACCGCCTTTTGGTAAAGAATTCTTGATAAAGTTTGTAGCTTTTCTATCGATTGTTTCACTCCATTTTAGATATTTATGGAGTCTACGATTTTCTTCTTGCACAGGAAAACTTGCTGGTGCACCGGTAAAAGCAATCACTGAAAAAATAATGCAACTTTGAAAATTCTAGGTTCTTTGATATATTAAACCAGTAGTCCTTAGACATTTGAGCTTGCAAGCCTCTTTAGATAGTTACTCCTTCTTTCTGTTTTATTCCTCTCTTATGAAAAAAAGAGCTAATTTACATTACTTGATGATGCCCAGTAAAACTTAGGATTTTGTAATGACTTGCTAAACAAATCAGCACACCTAGAGTAATGGGAGGGATGTACTTGCATGGTGTTCATGGGTTTGATTTTTTGGGCTCAACTGATTAAATTATAGGCAAATTCCAAATTTCAATTTATTCTCAATACCTTTTTTCTCAAACCTGATTGGATGAAACGTCTGGCAGTACGATCCAAAACAAGAAAAAAAATATTGGATCAAAAGTAGGCTGGAAAGTTGAATGAAAAAGCTATCATTCTTAAGTTGACCTGTAATTACCTAGTACAACAGTAATAATGCCTGAATATATATCATTTTCGTTCGAAGTTTAATAATTTTTCCATATGAATGTATGTCCCAGCAAACATGAATCTTACCTGGCCATACAACGCCATCATACTTGTTTTTCCATTTTTCAACCGTGTCAGGTGAGTGGTACACGTCATAGTGAAGAGGGCCATAAAATTCAGAGCCTACAAAATCAATATTGAATGTGTCCCAGAACGGACCGAATGGATTTCCATCTTTGGCATCGCAGGACGTTTCACCTCGTGGTTGGTAACAGAAAGCTGAAAATCATTCAACACAGTTGATAATATAGCGTCATCATGTCTTGGATCTTGTTTGTTAAAGTGAAAACAATTGAAAAGCAGGGTACATTGACCATTGTAAGAGCACATGGTCTTCACTGAACTTGTCTTGCTCCAGAGGTATGAAAGTTTACCGATCATAGATCTAAGTGTGTGAAGTGAGATTTTTTAAAAAGGGATTTTTGTCTGGTTAATTGGAAAAATAGGCTTAAAATTTTCGATGAAAGCCATTTGCTAATACTTAGAAAAATTAGGAGTGGGTGGCTAGGTACATTTTTGAGCCATTGACAGGCAAGAGCTGTATTCAAATCCAATATTTTGAGCTCTAAAAATCCTGCATTAAAACTATAAATAGCATGTCGTCAAAATAATTTGTTTTTCTAACTGAGACCTATGAGCCATGGTACATGACCGCTAACCGGCAAAGGGATCTTGGTTTGTATAAATTCAAGATAAGCAATAAGTTATTGCTATAAGAGGAAGAAGGAGCATTCTTTGAACATTCTGAAAAACGAATGCCAAAAAATGTCAAAATCGTAACTGGATTTTTACTAAGTTTGAAGTACAAAACACGCAGTTCAGAGGAAAATGTACTGAAAATTCCAATTTTCTTGGTTGATTGAAGAAAATTCCTAGATTATGATGCATCTTTACACTTCTTCCTGCCATAACAATAAATAAAACCAAACTAAAATTTTTGAAAGTGTCTTTAGACAGGGGCAGATAAAATAAACAGCCTCGGTTACATAAAAAAATACCAAAATATTGTTGATGAGATCAAACTCTTACAAATTCGTTTTTCTGGCGGCCAAATGGTTGGGGCAAGACTCTTCATAAATTCTTCCATCAGAATCACCCTGTGAAACTCCGATAATGCATCGACTTTAAAGTATGTGTCAAATGGCACTTGTATCTGTAAACGAGAGAAATAAAAATGGTTAAAATAACAAGAGCAAATCTACGAGTGAGCATCCAAAATTAGATGAATGCATGGGTGTGAATGCTTTTGCTCGCATGCCATCTCTCACTACTGACGACAGTTTTTGAAAACCCCAAAATTAGCACACAATTTTATTCTTTCTGGGATACTTACTTCCCTTTGCATCAGAGTCATCTCACTCAGATATATGAGACGGCCCTTGCTATTGGTAGCCTTAGGATTGATAGAATTTTCAGAGAATGTTGTGCCTATCTATATGAATTTTAAATCTGCTTCCTTCCATATGGATCAGACTATCTTTGTTTAGGATTTCATCAGTAATGCAGCTGAACAGGTGTGCTGAATTCGTATTTTTCAAAACCAAAATTGGCTAGAAAAAGATTATCTACTGGGAGACTGATATTTGGAAATTTCACACTTACAGATCGAGACTCTCCATAACGATATTCAACCCAAGGGGGTAACACCAGGGTTCGATTGATGCCTTTGGCAAAACCAAGTGCTCCAAGAAAATGGTCTGCTTGATTGCCGAACCTTCCTGTAAAACATAAATAGAAATCCAAATTTAGTTATTTATTTATAAAAAAAATATGGAGACCTAAGAGACTGAACAAGGAATAGATATGAAGATTCTTTTTCGAATGAAATGCTGTCTCTTCCATAGGAAATCTTAGAAATATTGAAAATTGTTGTCGGCGTTGCATTCCTTCTATTGAGACTTTTTATTTTGATTTATGTATTTAGATGCAAATGATATACGTCGACAAGAAATGAAATTTTTAATCAGAGCATTCATTTTTTGTTCATAGAGGAGTAATCCCACCTACTTGACACACTCTGTCATTTGAGGAGGAATTAACACAGACTCTCTTGCAAATAACATGTAAATCTCTGCAGTTAAGGGTGCCTCACTGCTTGGAGATAGATTTCAATTCATTGGCAACACCACCTGATGGTTGATGACATTATTACCTCTAGGGTAATGTCAGCAATCGGTAATCAGATGCGTAGCCGAAGGAACAAGGGGGGGGGGGTGCCTTGCATGACTGGAAAGTTTTCTAAAAAAATATGATTATTTGTGACTATCAGGAATTATATACTTTCAGAATGCTCAGTGAAACATTTCCGGCTAGGTACGCCACTGCTGGTGGCTAACTGGTGAATATGAAGAAATATGATGTGGGTCAATTTCGCAACATGTTATTATTTTACAATATACTACAAACAAATTTCGAAAAGTCTTAAGATTCCTGAATCTAACTCAAAAAGAGCAGGATCTTGATTTGGGTACACCCAGCCATCATCGACTCCCCGCAGGCCCATCTTATGATGATTTTTGCTACGAAGTGCAATGTAACTAAGATAATATTATTTTGATAGATACTAGTAAACTCTTTAGGCAGGCTAACTATCAGTGACGAAAAAGGGTTGGATCGAAACAATTTGGAGCTCATTTCTTTTTTTAAAGAAATTTTTGCCACTTCCAGGAGGCATTTTTATTTACGTATTTTTTTCTGACAGGGTATTTTTTTTTTTCTTTCTTTCTTCTTTCTTCTACTTGGAAAAAGGTAATTTTATTGGCAGAGCAAATTATATTGAGTATGAAAGAAAGAAAAAAAACCCTTCACTTTCCCACTTCTGGATTTTTTGCGTAAAATTACTGAGCTCTGGCTTATTATGTAAGACTTCTACATACAACTTCCAAACTTGTAGAATTTACCAGTTTCCTAGTTTTTTTTTACAAATTATTTAGGGGTAGGTATGTGCTACAAAGTAGCAGAGAGACAAATGATCTAAATAAAGGAGAAATAAGATGTAATACTTAAATGTGTAAATTCCAGTTGACATTTATTTCCAAACATCACCAAGAAGCTAGCAAAGGAAAATTCCTCTAAGAAATTCTTTAATTATTAAAACATGACAGGTAATGCAATTTTAAGACTACAAATTGGTACTAAATGATTTTAGTATCTTATTTTTTGATATGGGAGTTGACAAGTAAATTTTCATTAATGGAAAATGAAGACATGACAACCATTCAGGGAGAGTACAGACTAAAGCGTAAGATTTTGCATCGATTTAACGAAAAACAAATTGAAAGGTAAAAGAACAGATCAAACTAAAAGATTGAGTAACAGAGGGCAATAAGGTTTTACCAGATATGAGATTAAAGAAAAAAGTGCAGAGTAAAGTAATCATTTAATTTTAAATAAAGTTGATACTACTAGTTGGTGCAGTACTTGCCAGATATTCAATTGTTATTCTATGGTGCATTGATGATGAATATTTGGATTGCATTTTGCAAAACGGAACCAAGAGCATCCAAATGTTGCTAGGATTATGCAACTTACATTCTTTGCAATATACTTGATAAAGTCATACAAAAAATTAAATTTACAAAGGTAATTTTCATCCTGAATTCATAGTTTGTTGGGAGTAAAGATAAAACTTGTTTAGATGATCAGTTCATATTTGCAAGGTAAAAAAAGTTGCACCATCTTAGTGACATTGAAATATTCTTGGTTCCTTTTTACAAAATGCAATCAATGTATTAATCTTCAATAGTGGGTTTCGGTTTTTATCAATTTTTAATTCTTAAGAGAACTCTAGGAGCTCAAGTGAAAAACTCCCGAAAAGTAATGACCAAACTAAGTATAATGATAACAATGATTCAGGCAGTGATCTACCTCAATCCGATCTAACTATCAGTTTGACAAATGAAAAGACATACTTTAGTTACTTTTTGTCAATGCAATAATTATAGAGAAGACTTGCATAAAAAGGATAGTCAACTTGGTCATAAAAGAGGCTGATTTTCTTCTGAGGTATTGTAATATAACAATAATCTACAATAATCACAGATATAGCTATGAAAGCAGCCCTTCTTTTGTTTTTATTGTATCCTCAAGGAGCAGACCGTGGATAGCCTTATACACATTACTCCGGATTAGAAAAACAAAGATAGGACAGCATTTGATGCTTATTCTTCTGCAATTTCTACAAGAAAGTGATCGTTGACTACTTTTGTAGAAACATCATAATTTTTGAAACATTGAGCCACAAACTGAAAGTTTTAAATGTGAGGAAAACTTATCTGGACTGAAATTTTTTTGGGAAAATGACTTCTCAACAGTGACGATTGTTGGAAATTGATGACACTGTTTTTCCTCCACTTAAATCCACTACGACAATTCATTCTGGATGGGCAGTCTTCAAATGCACGCAAATGGATAAAAATTAGTGAAACTAAGCTGCAACTGCTGTCACAGATTCATCTGAGTTAGATTTTATTACCGCAGTACCTACCTAAAATTTGTCTTGACAATCAATCTAAAGTGGCGACTGCAGGCTGAGAATCTTCAAAAAACATTGTGAAATGACATATTTTGAACAGGTCTGAAACATATCTGGAAGTTTGCTGGTGTCTATGATGCTTGAATCACGGATACAATCGAACAAGATCACTTGCTGACGCAGGTAAGTTAGAGATAGGACAGCGCCCAGACTCCTTGAGTACCCGAGCAATGCATAAATAACAGAACACATAACCAGAGACAGGCAACACAGTGTCTGTTTTACGTGGACCGAGACATATAGGACATTTGCCTGCAAAAGTTTGCGCTTCTTCACTAAGTGCAGGATATGGTGGGACTGGATTTGAAGACAATGTTTTATGAGGGTGCTCACTGAACCACCACTGAAGGAACTGTACAAAAAAGGCACCGACTTCTATGGAATGACTGAATACTTCCGCGACAGTTTTTTGGCAGAATTTCAACGGACTGAGCTCACGACTTCGGAATGCACGCCAGCAGTTTGTCCAGTCAAAGTTGGAAGCTGCTTCTTCTGGCTTACTAATTAAAGTAACATTTGCGAGTCGCAACAACACTGAGTGATTTTGAGAAAGGCCAGAGATGTATGTCAAGTACGATAATAAGGAGATGCTTTCGGCGCACAGCTGGATAGACCGAAGCAGTTCTACAGTTATCTTTGTTCCTGCTTCACTGCTGTTTGATGAGGATTCAAGCTGGCTGTGTACATAATACGTGTCCATTTTTCGCCTTGCATACTGCAAAAAAACCTCAAAAAATAGAGATGCTAAAATTTGCTTCCAACTAAGGTTTCTATCATTCGACTGATAAGCTGAGACTCTTTCCAAATTGTAGAATGATTCAGAAAATGTGGCATTATACTTCTTCAAGTAATGTAACTGAAGTAAAAGTTCAAAAACTAAGAAGTTTTCATCAAACTTTTCATACACCCAGCCAAGGAGATCTGGGTGCCTTGATGAAAGATACAGAGCAAATTGTTTTAAGCCAGGGTGAAGAGTTCTTGCCAGAGTTTCTTGTGCAATTATTTCAAAGATGGATGGTTTTATAAATGATGTAGCAGTGACATGTGCTGCATTTGCTGCCATGGTCTGAAAAGTGTCCTTCTCTCTGAAATGGTTTTGATGACATCCAATAAAGATACACGAAAACTCCTTCCGCTTACGTTTCACTCATTGGTTCAACTTCCCTCTCCACAACTATAACACTAAGTAACTGACTTAAAGGTGTGATCAATAGGCAGTTCTCAGTTTCACAATTGATGCAAAATGAGTAAATATTTCATAAAACTCAGTACAACATACAAGTGCTGATTTAAACGGGTTGGAGGTATACAAAATCATTCTGTAGATTTAGTGAAGTCTCTGAATCACAGCACAGGTACACATTGACTGGTTTAAGAGCTGAAAAAACTTTAGGTTGGCTTGATACATTGAAGTACTGTTAAAGTTACACAAAATGATCTTCACTTAAAGGGCAAACCAATTATTATCATTGTATTTGGACTAGACTAGACATTAGCGCTTGATGACTTGACTGGACTAACCATAACCTAAAAAGTTTTGTAAACAAAGCTTTTTACAGGGTTGACAAGTTTCCATCGCCAGTCTGTTAATCTCTGAAGCAGCTGCCAAATTAGCTAAGTTTCTATTTCTATTTATTCAAATTTCTATTTTTTTTGACATTGGGAAAAAACTGAGAAAGAGCCAGTGTCAACAAATTGAAATTGTTTTCGCAAAAAAGGCCTTTTCATTTTAAAAAAAAAACCCCTCTCCTCTTAAAATTTCCCCAGTTATGATTTTTTTTTGCTCTGTGCCTACAATTTAACTTGACTTTGTGAAGCACTTCCAATTCTTCACACTGATGCAAGCCAGCCTACCTATCAGTAAAACCTATCTCAGGGCATTTCCATATGGGCGCGCCGCTGACAGCCTTGATTGAGAAGTTTCTGAACCTTAAGGGTTCCCTTTTTGGGATGAATAAAAATACTACCTGGACATCCAGTTTATAAAACCCATCTCAGGGCCTTTCCATTTTCGCATGTAATCCATGTGTGCATTGTCCCCCTTTGTCACCCCCTGATTAAGATGTTTCTGTGCCTAATTGTTTCCCCTTTAGGATGATTTGTCAAACTCTCTGACGTTGTCAACCTGGCACGGGATATATCACATCAATAAGGTAAAAAATCTTGGCAGATTCTGTATTAAATTAAGGATATTAGCCCCTGCGCATGAACCTAAAGAATCATTTACTTAAACCCAAAAAATTGAGAAAATTCAGAGAAATGAAAGCAGAATCCTATTTTTAAAAAAACCTGGCAATCGATAGAGTAGTTGATTTCTGTATCGAGTGCAAGGTTTTGTCTCAGACAGGATACTGCTTTCATTCCTCTGAATTTTGCCAATTTTTTGGTTTAAAATAATTATGTAGGCTCATGTGCAGGGGCTTCACCCTTTAAAGGAATAGAAATTCAAAATCTGCTGAGATTCTTTACCCTTTTTTTTTTTTACTTCAAATATCCCTTGAGGGATAATCCTGCACTTTACCGTCCCTAATCAAGCCAGCCCCAGGTAACTGTTGTTTGAGACCATCAAACTCGGATCACTTGGCCAGGAACCAAACCTCCCAATCATGGAGCAAGCGCGAAAACCACTACACCACAAGAGGCCGACAATGCCGACCTAATCAATAGGATATAAAGCAAGACAGTTTGACCACCTGACGTTCAACCACACGACCACAACCCAGAGCTTGATGAATCACTTGCAGCAGCTACATGTAATATCACCCAGACGTCCGATTCAGTCGTATCTTTGTCCTTTGTGAGGAGCTAATGTTGGAGACGTTGCCTACGAGAATAGAGACGCAGTAACTATGTTCCTGTGACGTCATGCCAGTAGATGAAACTTGACCGCGGTTCAACATGTGTTCATGTGGGAGAACGCCTGATGCGTGTCTCTTTAGTGCCGATATCTTCTAGGGGGTTGATCTAATGCAAGGGTTCATAAGAACCTTTTCGAAAGAAGATGAAATTTCACTTCAGAAAACTAACTAACCCATATGCGACGATGTCGAATAACTGATAATTGAGGAAATGACAGCGTAATACCGAAAATCGTTACTCCTCTCAGATTCAAACGCACCGCTCACCACACTTTGGCTGATCGAGGGCCACTCTGATTGGTCCACGCAGCGACTGCCTCACTCATCAATGCACCAATGACCTGGAGATGCTTATTATTCTCGGTAAATATCTACTAGCTTGACATCACAAAACTGACTAGTTACGGACTCTTCATTCTCATAGGCAGCGTTGGAGATTTACATGAGATTTAAGTGTTCAGTGGCTCAAAAGTTAATGGCCAACCAAGTAAAATGCTGACGGAATCAGACAGAAAAAGCCTACAGTATGAGGTAATGTAGAAAAATCTTACCCATGCAAGGACAGTACATCAGGTAGCCGTTTTCATCGATGGTAACATTGGAGGCCGTACTCAGCCTGATGATCAGAAAGAAGACAATAGTCTTGCAGTATCTGGCTGAAGCTGAAATAGTCACCATTTTCTGCTCATCTGTTTCACGAATTAGAAAAATGAGAAAAACACGTGAAAATCGGGCTGCTCACTTGATGGAGGAATTGGTCGTGCAAACTTATACATTAATACAACGAAGAGGCACAAGCTAAGCCGGCAATCCACAGTTTAATTTTCCAAGACTTGTTGAATACTTATAATAATAATACTTGGAAACTAAATTGGTAAATCCATATGAAAATTCAGGAACCGGCATGGAAGTTCGAAAAAGCACAATAACCACAACAACAATCGCATGTTATCAGACAATTGGCCGGAAATTAAACGTTGCCAAAGTGACAGGAAATCACGTTGCAATCCTACACAGTCATTACATATTGAAACAAAATTAAGAAAATCATGAATCAATCATCATTGATTGATAAATATTTAGCCTGCATGTTGATACTTATTCGGCAGCAGATTTCATGCCTAAACCGAGGATTCTTGTACACAAAATAGTGTGGTAAAAAGGCATTCCAATGTGCATTGATTTTTATGTGATGATGTCATATTCTTTGATCGGCTGATGTCACCGATTTTCGACCGATACAATTGATATGGCAACGTCCCTAAACAAATTTTCATCGTCGTACGCTTCCAGTTCCACGATAAGTTCTTGGGTGAAGTTCGGTACTCGGGCTGCATGGAAAGTCCATGAACGGTACTCGGACTGCATGGAAAGGCTATGAAAGGTACCTTGTAGGAGTTAGAGTCCCTTTATACTGAGAGTCAAGACAATTCGGCTCATGGATGTCACAAACGGGAATAAAGATTACAGAAATTGAACGTTTTTCGTAATCTTTGATCGGCCCATTCTCAAATGCCTTTCTCCGTTCCTCCTCTCATTCCGTTTGTTCCTTGCCGAACCCGTAATTCCCTGGTCCATTCCAGATTATAATCTTTGCAATTTGTGAAAATGTAATCTTTATTCCCGTTTGTGACACTGTGGAGGCCTAAAATACGGGAACCAATCAGAAATGGATTCAAATTGTCTTGACTCTCAGTATAAAGGGACTCTAGTAGGAGTTGGTGTCGTTTTCGTTTGTATGTTTTTGGGGCGGTTAATTTGAAAAATTCATCATTTCAGGTACCTTTTAGGAGTTGGTTTCGTTTTCATTTGTATGTTTTTGGGGCGGTTAATTTGAGAAATGTTCATAATTTCGTACAGGTTGAGGAGTTTATGATTTGGGGATGTAAAACAATTATTTGCACCATGATTCAANCGTCGATATGCTTGTTTTTTCAAACAGAATTTGTTTTTATTTTTAAAGAGAATAGTGTTCGTCAATTAGACCAATTGGAGCTACTTATTTATCAAATATTTACTATTTAAAAAAAGAAATACGTTAGCGAAGGAAACTGTTAGTTTCTGAAAAATCATTTAAATTGTTTCAAGGATAGTTTCAGATCCCTCCCTCGCTTTTGTACCAAAAAAGGATAGACTATTAGGGGGAACTAGGATTCTTTATAGTTGAGAACTTTGTTATGTTCCAAATATGAAAGCTAACGTCTTACTTTATCCGTAAAATTTATTTTGGTGTTCAACCGGTACGGCTGTGTGTTGAAGATTTGAGAAAAAAATTCAAAATTATGTTTTTGCTGTTTTACTCAACTTTCTGGGCATTTCTAAAGTTCCCTTTCACAGTTTACCACGTGTGTATAAAGGGAATTAAGGAGATTCATAAGTTTCTAGGGTTTAATACTGCATTCTGAGTGTTATATGAAATTTCTGGAAATTTCTGGAAATTTCCTCATGAAATTTCTTTTTATAATTTCTCATTTTTGTAAAGATGTAGCAATTTCTATTGCTCTCAGGAAGAAAATTGAGAATAACAGAGATACCATATGCTGCAGAAGTAAGGAAAGTCAGGAAAGGTTGTAATAACATAAACAATCAGCGCTGATCGCGGCGATTAATCGCTAGGTGTATTATACGTAATCGCACTGATGGTCTCTGTTGATTGTATTGCGTTGAGCGATGCGACCCGAACCAACCCAATCGCGGCGATTAATCGTCGTGTGTATCCAGGCCTTGAGGGTCTTTTGATTCGTCTAGTTTTACGGTGTGTTGTTGGAATGGTCGGGTGTTGGATGGTGAGTTTCGTATACATGTTAGTTTTCTCTATGGTGTTAGTACTATTTGTGACAGATGTGCAGTCCGAGTACCGAACTCCCAGGGAGTACCCTGAGCCCTTTCCACACGTTGCAAGTTTTGCTGCAAGTGAGCCGAAAGTGGGAGTCATCACTCATCGATGATGCTGAAATTTGCGTCCCGTCCGCAAATTTCACGACCATCGATGAGTGATGACTCCCACTTTCGGCTCACTTGCATCAAAACTTGCAACGTGTGGAAAGGGCTTTTTCATGGACTTTTCATGCAGCCCGAGTACCGAACTTTCTCCAGAAAGTGATCCTCATTACATCAGAGCATCTGCAGTTCCTTTTTTCTGATCCGCAAGTTACCTCTGGCTTTCGGTAAGCAGAAATATTTTTCAACTCAAACTCAACTGTTCCACCATCCCAATATGTAACCTCGCCTATAGTTTCCTCATCATTTGTTTTAAATATGTAAATCCTAATATTCAATCCAAACATTTTTTTTTTCAATTTTTAGGAGTATTGAAATTATAACAAATCCTGAAGTGTGGTCTCTTTGATCTTGTATTGATAGAATCAGCCTACCACTTTGGTACATATCATGAGTCACCACTAAAATGTAACTTGGATCACGGAAGACTTCCAGAATATTTATTTTCTGTACATTAAGTCTTCTTCTATAACTATTATGGACCTTTCTGCTCCTTGGGTCCTCTCTCTTTTATTTTTCCTCTGGAAATGCACCGGTGTGTTATCTCAATTTTCGTTAGTGATTGAGGAGAGCGATTACAAATTGCAGACCCTATTTTAATTTGAATTATCCATGTCGATCACTTCCTTGTGCATCCATATTTGTTATCAGTACATCATTCATGAACGGTCAACAAAAACTATACGCCTATTAATGTGTGAAACTATCTGTGAACCGGAATTCTCCGGTATGAAAACTTCCGGATCATTCATTTACAAATAAGGAACCCCTCTAAGAAGAGATTTATTTATATTTAAACTCATCATATTCTTTGAGACCAAAGTTATCCAATAAATGTTACATCACACTTTCGGAATTTTTTTATTAATGAACTGCTCAAAAAGCTATGGACTGGGTCACTGGTGGCTTATTAACAGTTTCCAAGCAGAGGAAAAATTTAAATGATAATATTTCGTCACATCCAAGTGACCTGATTAAATCACTTAAACCCACTCATATATGCTCGGGAGAGCAGCCCATGGTTCCAGTCCAGTGGAATGCTTGGACTGCCCGCAGGGAACCCTGTTCCTCTGCGCTTAAGAAAAAAAAAGTCCGTACTGTTCGTATGATCACCGTAAGCCACCAACCCAAATATCATCACTAAAATTTACCTCATGCGGATGTAGTTTTCCGTGCCAAACCCCATCTCCTAACTGAATAGAATGGGAAAATACTGCTTACATGCAGGTAAGCAAAAGGTGACCTGATTTTTAGGTAAAGGAATGCTTCATTCTTTTGAACAATTTACGTATTCCTCTGAACATTTTCAAACCACAGAACCACCATTCATATTATTTGAAGTCAATTTTATTTTTTCAGCCTAAAAATGTTGTCTGCAGAACTTCGAGCTCAAGCAGAGAAGTTCATCTCTCTTTTACGAGCAAATCCCGCATTGCTTCACACTCCAGATTTTAAATTTGTGAAGGACTTTATCGAGTCTTTTGGTGGCACTGTGCCTGCTGCACCTCCTCCAAGCTTCAAACCACCTACTGATGGTAAACCTGAAGAGCCAGTCCCTCCTGCAGAACCAGAACCAGAAAGTGAAGAGAGTGAAGTGGAGTTAGATACAACAGGCGTAATTGGTAAGATTTACATCTGCTGTAGGCTGAAAAGTGCAGAAGTTCTGCATATTATGTTATTCTGTTATCATTCTTTACAAATTAAAAGCACCTTTTAATTAAAAATGTACCTTCATCCAGAGGTCAAGGGTCACAATTCGATGTTATTGAACAGCAAAGGTGCCTAACTTCTTGACCATGCGACCTGTTGGGCGTTTTTGGTCGCAAGCAGAAATTATGAAGGCTTTTAAATAAGTTTTCTAAACGGGAAGGCTGTGTTTTGCGTACTAGGTCAAAAATTTTGTACTTCCTTCAAATTTGAGGTACGAATTGTCCATTTTATTCAACACTGCAGTGGAAATCAGGTATTTTCTGAATATCGGCGGCAATTTGTACAGCAAGAGCCAAAATAGGTCAAATTTTCAAAATTTTTGATGGATGAAAGAGTTTTAAACTGGAACTGCCAGGAATTTTCTGCATTTCTGTCAAGCAGAACGACCATTTTCAAAAACCAACATGAAATCAATCCAATACTTAAACAGTTTTGGTTGATTCCCTTGCGGATGTATCTCTTCCGTTGAATGGTCTCCAATAAGTATTGATCGAATTACAAAATGTCCTACAACATTCAAGTATTCTTTTTTTTCTTTTTACGCAAAGAGTGTCTTTTTCAATAGCTAATATGCAGTCAAGGAGTTGAATTTGTACAATTATCTGTTTGATTTGCCAGACAAAATTTTAAAAAAACATTTTAATTTACTTTCTTAAAAGCTTTTAAAATCTTACTGATTACTTTTTCTAAATAATTTTAGAGGATACAGAAGTTCCAGAGCCTTTAGAAGAAGTGAACCCTGAGGCAGAAATCTCAGAAGAAAACTTGGAGGCCTCAAACGCCAAAAAGCAAGAAGCCATCACTGCTCTTGGTGAAAACAATATAGAAACTGCCATAGAATTATTCACGGAAGCTATCAAATTAAATCCAGGTTTGTTTGAGAGTGAAGTTTTTTCATTTCCAGTCTGTGCCTGTACCTACAGGTATCTAGTGACACCAGATATCTGCACCTCTTTTTTTCTTCTTTTTTTTTTCAAAACTAAGTGTCTTCCGTTCATGTTAGTGACCAAGTTACTCAGAGAGGTAAAGAGTCACCAACTTATAAAAGTGTAGGAGTTTATCAGTACTTTTTAAGTATAATCTTTGGCATTTTATTCTTTCATTGGTATGAATGTTGCATTAGTAGGTAACACATAGGTACAGTTGCTTAACGAGGAAAGATCATTCAGCACCAAATGAATGGCCTAAACTGGAATTTGCCCAACTTCATTTCACATTGGCAAATTTCTGTCGGTGTTTAATTTTAACATTCTGCCTTAAAACTTTCTGCTAATCTCCCTCAGATCAAGAAAGATATACTTTCAAAATTAACTTACCTCACTTTTTTTCTGTTATAAAAATAAAACATGAGCGGAAAAAAGTCTAATTTCAATATAGTTCAGCTGGCACCAGTTGAGTTCACTCGGTATCAACCTGTTATTACTCGGAGCCTTTTTTTTTTCACTTTAGAGTGACCATTATGCACACTAACACTTTTCATTGAAAATAAGAACGGATGTCGTTGATTTTTTCTTTGATGAATTTTTTAATGCTGTCTTTCTTTTTTTTCAGTCTCGGCCCTCTTGTATGCAAAGCGCGGGCAGTGCTACCTAAAAATCAACAAGCTCAATAGCTGTGTGCGCGACTGTTCGTTTGCGCTGAAAATAAACCCTAACAGTGCGCCAGCTTACAAGTTCCGTGGCCGTGCAAATGCTAAACTAGGGAAGTGGCTAGAGGCAGCCAGTGATCTAAGAAATGCCTGCAAAATAGACTTTGATGAAACAGCAGATGAATGGCTGAAAGAAGTCACACCAAATGTATGTTCTCTGTTAATTATACTATGTCGTAGGTATATGAGACGGTCATTTTGGGTTTTTTAACTGACCTAGTGTGGAAAAATGATTTTTGTTTTACAAAAAGGGTGTACCTAACAGTTTGAACTCAAGTCTTCTTGTATCTTGTCTAGTACGTAGAGTATTTCATTTATTAATATTCCAGCAGTATAATGGCTACACCCAAAGTAGGTCAAAAAATAATTTTTAACAAGACAAAGTTACAAAAATGGCAGCCAAATCATGAAGACTGTGGATATTTTTTAACCCAAGAGAAAACATTTTTGGCAAAAGAAAATTATGAAAATATCGATAAATTTAAGAATTCATACAACAAGGTTAATAAATAAAATAAATTAGATCAGAGCTTCTGATGGATCTACAATATTTTTCATGAAGAGAACTCTATGACAGCCAGCTAAGGTTGCTTTTCAAATATAGGAAGGAGTCTGGTGCAATTCCTTCAGAAACTTAGATGAAAAACTCATTCTGTTTTTGCTTTGACCCAACTATGGGGAAAAAAACTAAACAATTAAAATCTAAAAGAGCAGTACGCTTGAGTTAAATCTAGTAAGGAACAGGCTAATTGATACAGTGCAGTAGAACTAATAATATACATTACCAAAGTCTTAGATGGAAATGTTAGGAATTTCTGTTACTTCATGTCAAAATTTCATTTTTATATTTTTGTTCTGATTTATGTGTATGCATCAGGCCAGGAAAATTGAGGAACATACCCGAAAGTATGAGCGTAGAAGGGCTGAAAAAGAATTTCGAGAAAAACAAGAGCGCATCCGCAAAGCAAGAGAAGAGCATGCAAAAGCAGCGGAAAGGAGTAAAGAATCATCTGCACCTTTCGAAGGAGAAGGAGAGGAAGGATTTCCTTTCAACGACTTCCTAGGAACCATGATGGATCCCGAAATGCGAGAAATGATGAAAGTAAGTGCAATCGCTAAGTTTGAAGTCATATTGCAAACTTAATGATAAGATCATGTAAAAAACAATAAATGCATTTGTAAGTCGCGATGGCGCATAAAATATGAGACCCCAGTGCTCAGAGGCAAATTTTTCAGTGGAGAAGTTTTTGTGCAGTTGGGTCAGAAAAGTTAAATATGAATTTTTGGTGGAAATCATGCTATTCTTTTTAGAATTGAATTTCCGCAGGTGGATCAATTGGACTACATTTTGCAATTTGGAACTATAAATTCTGACCCAGTTTAAAATCAACGTATGTGGCATTCGTTTCCCTATGCACATAAGTGTTTTTTTAGATGAGCCAGAATTTATAGTTCCAAATTGCAAAATGCAGTCCAATTCATTCTGTTGCAGATTGGACGAAAGTCGTCAAATCGTTTTGTAACTTTTTTTTACATCATAGTTTATAGGCAATATTATGTTGCTGGCTAATGTCAAAAAGTGTTCATCCAATTGCAAAGTAACAAAATCTTTGATTGAGCGTTATTCTTTTTATATGGAAACTGATCCAAATATTTTTTGAATTTTTCCATGAATATATTTGAATAGGTATAAGTGATACAAAACTCATAGAAAATTATAATAAAAGTTCTTCTTCAGTTTTCCTCTAAAAAAAAAAAAAAAAAAAAAAAAAAAAAAAAAAAAAAGAATACAACGTGGGCACAGATTTGTAACATTGCAACTGTAGGTAAGTATTCTCCTACTTTGACCATCAATATTTTTCTATCCATTTTCAACCATGCTCTCTCTTGTCAGGATCCAGAAGTAGCAGCAGCCTTCCAAGACATTAGCTCAAATCCAATGAATGCCATGAAGTATCAGAGCAACCCTAAAATAGTCAAACTTACGCAGAAATTAGCTGCTAAATTTGCTGGAGGAATGCCAGGTGGCATGCCTGGTATGCCTGGAGGAATGCCAGGTTTTGGTGGTCCTGGAGGTCCTTTCGGTGGGGCGGGTGGCACTCCACCCTCTGCTCCGTCTCCGAATTTCTCAGATGACGTAGGATTAGATTAAGGTAAAAAATTTCCATCACTTCTCATCTTGAATTTTTTGTGTATATCTGAACACCATTAGACCTAGTTTCAGATAAATTGACTTTTTCATCTGCTTGCATACGATTACTACTTTCTCTCTTGGCAAATTGAAAGGGATGCATGAGTGCATGATCGGCATATCCATGACGGCGTTTTAATGCCGTCTTGGATTTTGCGGCATGTTAAGTTGGGTTCACTGCCGAGTGTGATCTACTGATGAGGTCTAAAAAGGCCCTAACCGGTATAGATCTCTCGACGTGACTCCAACTTAATATTCCATTGCAAACTGCCTGAGCTGAACACTCTCCCTCCTCAGTTTCGCACTGGTGCGCATTAGAGCTCAAAAAATTATTTTTGACTCTAATTTTAATTTTTGGAACTTCTTGGCTTTGATTTCCCCACGAAATGGTGTGGACCCAGCACCATTTCTCCACCTTGTTACATACAGGTTTCAGGCTACTCCTTTGTGTTTTTTTCTTCATTTATATTATGATGTTGGTACCATAATGGGTCACGAAGAAGAAAGAAATGGTTAGTCCAAGATTTGTACGTCACACAAAAATCAGCTCAGTTTTTGTGCCCACTCTTTTTTTTAAAAACATTTCTATCAGTCCATTTGGAAAAAAATGTTCTAGTATACATGTCTTTCAATCGATTCACTGTTTCTGAGACATTTGTGATCAAAGCTTTACCCAATTATATATCATGAAGATGTTGTGCAAAATGTTAGAAGAAGTTAACTTGGAAGCACCTTTTTATCGTGTATGACAATGCGGTACTCTAAAACACCTTAAATGTATAAAACAAACAAGCATAAAAAAGAAGGGAAAGGAAGAAAATTGTCACGTTTTTCAGTTTCAAGTAATCGGGGAACTTAGAATCACCTACTTCGAAAAATTTATCAGATTTTCATATGTTGCATTCCAGTTTCAGCTTGCCATTACTAATCTAATATTTTTAAAATTTTCTTTCAGTTGCTGCTGTTCTGGGACTAAATCATGCTTGTTTTCTGTGTAAATACACCTTTTTCTCTAGTATAAGGATGATCATTTTAGCTTTTCTTTGGAACTAGGTCCAATTAATGTTTTTCACAACTTTTTGAAAAAAGTTTTGAAACCTGTTGAAAGTAAATTCAGTTCAGATCAGAAAAATGGAGTTGTCCTCATAGAAGTTCTGAAGTAAATCTTTTTAAAGACTGGTGTAAATAAGATATTCTTGATAACTGGAGTTCAATGTTTTTTAAATTAATGGTTGATCCAATTCGATGATTTTAAAGTGGTATTTTGTTTTTGTCTAATTTTACTTATTTTTTCTTTTATATCGTTTACATTTAGTGTTTGTATGAATGCATTGATTGGTTTAACAAGGGTTTTTCTTCTATCGAGTATTTAGAAGTAATTTTACTTATTCAGCTTTTATAGAGTTTTAAAGAAAAATTTGCTAGGAGATAACAGAAAGAAAAAAAATTGACAAAAATTCACACACCATCTAAAAATAGGAGTACATATAAATTTTTAAAATCATGATCAAATTTTCCTCAATTAAATGTTCGAATCACTCTCTTTTTTCATTTTTTATTTTTTCCCTAAGATCAAAAACACTTGAAATATCGACTGTTGGAAGCATCCTCTGGTTCAGGAACAACACTCAAAAGAAAAGTTTTCTAACTACGCAAATACCACAAATTTGTATTTATTTATTTTTTGTTGTTGTTGTTGTTGTATTATACACACTGTTGCGATTCTAAAACTATGTTGAAAGATGTGCTCTTAGCAGTCTTCATTCAGAGGTACCAGAATTTTTCATTTTCAAACTAAATAAAATAAAATCTGTGTCAAATCCTAATCGTTATCCTAATCAGTATTTAATACTTAGCCACAAGCCATTCATCCCTGAATACCAATGATCTTTTGTTTGAGGCAAGCATTCGCAATGAGACAAATTATACGATTAAATTTGAGCATTTTTAGACTGATGCTTTCATTATAATCACTCTTTTCCATTATGAAGATTGAACTATGATTGTACACTCTGTTTTTGGTCAAAAACATTGGACAAGATAATTATTCTTGCATTAATAAGAGTTGCTATGATTCGAAAGGAGACCTTTTTTGATTCTTTAAGCTGAACTGTTTACCTCACCAATCTCTCGTAATTTACCTCGACTGATAATTATTATGTGATGCATTTTGGGATGGAAAGACGTTAACACAGCTGCTCTTAATACCAACACCATTTATTCATTTTTGATTTTATTGTGCAATTTTACTACAATGCTGATTTTGTAGTTGTCGTTATTTGATAAGTTTTTTTAAGATGAAATACATCATCAGTAAATACCATCCAATTTTTGCCTTTAATATGTTCTCCTGTATTATCAAACATAGATACAAATTTTTAGGAGCAGCCCGAGACGATGATAACAGTGGAACAACAAAGATGAAAAAAACGGGAAACAAGGCTAAAAATACACAATTATGAAACCCGAGACGTTTCGACTCAACACTGAGTCATTTTCAGTCGGAAACAATAAAAAATTTTAAAAGAAAAACGCTAAAAACCTGAGCTCTACATGGTGGGGCCGGGATCTGAGAGAAAAAAAAAAAAAAAAAAAAAAAAAAAAAAAAAAAAAAAAACCGTTTTTTTACCGTTTTTTTCATCTTTGTTGTTCCACTATTATCAAACTGGAGATGTTACAAAGTAAATCTAAAAAACGATATCTTGAACTTCTATAGATCTCTTTTTTGTAACTAGTTAACTTTTTTTGCAGTTTTAAGGCCAATGTTTATCTCTGTCTTCATTTTAATTATGAATTTTCAATACATACTACTTCAAGTCTCTTTAAGATAAAAAGAAACTCAATGGGTTTTGTAGCCTCCCAAAAATTTGCCCTTAAGTTCAAGCCAATCCGCTCTAATATTCTGATATTATTGTTTCAGTTTTTCCATTTTTTCAGTCCATTTTAGTTTCGACTAATCTATAAAAATAATCATCTAATGCTATGAATCCAATCGAAATAAGCTTTACTGTTACTGCTTGCTTGCTGCAGGATGCAATGAAAGTTGGGTGCGTCCATGTTCTGCACTCGAAGCCTGCTTTTGCATAATAATTTCAATTCTGAAATATTCAGACTATCTTGCTTCAAGTTTAAGTCAACATAACTCCTTAGGTTGAAAGATTTGATCTCTAGCTTCCACAGATTCTTCCCATGAATCTTAATTCTCTATCTGTCTTTGTAATCTCACCAATGCTTTTTTTGGAACTTACCCAAAAGCAGCTGTAATTTTATTGTAAGATTCTAAAATATTTAGAATCTGGTATTTAGAACTTTTTTAACACAGTGAATTCTTAATTGTTATAAGAACATTTGTTTCTGAATAATATAGTCTGTACCCTGTTGAGTATGTCTTGGCTATTTTTCCAAATCGTATTCGGCACCCTATTTTGACCTGATGTTATTTCTAAGGCCAAGAAATATCTGTCAAATCCCACAAGTGAAATGAAAATTACTTATTTTTCGGCCAGATCCCAAGAGGTGCTATAAGATAAGCACTTGTGCTGATTTTTAGAAACGGAAATTTTAAATGCTGATTTTACACAGGGAAAATTCAGCAAATTTCTTCCCTCTTCATGAGCATCACCCTCTGAAAGGCCTCAATATCCTGTTTTTACATGGGAAATTAGAACTAGTGCTGATTTCTTTGGGATTTGTGCTGCAATTCGGCAAGGTCATCCTGCCATGAATTTTTGGAATTTGACCTGAGAACATTGTTTTTGGGTAAAGCCATCATTTTGACCGTTTCATAAATTAATCAACCAGCTGCATGAGTGGTGAGTTGACCATTTTGTGAAATTGGGCAGGAAAGAGCTGAACCATGTTGCCGTATTGGATCGAAATCGGTATGCCTGCGTTTAGCGTCTTTCCTTAATGCTACATTAACGTATGATACATGAACTTTCATCGACTTTTAGCGAGGAATTCGAATTTGAGCTGAGATTTTGGAGATCACTCGTTTTAATCTACTGAAAATCGTGGGTGAAATTACAGGGGCGTTCATGAAAATTGATCACTCAGTAGTTTTATTTTTTATTCACAGGATGATCAAAAATGAAAATTTCCTGGTTCTGTTAATCTAAATAAAAACACCTTGCTCACGAAGTCTAATGGAACTAATGGAAGTAACAATTAAAAGCACATCAAAACCGGGTTCAGGACATTCCGTCAACGATTTTTTGTCCCAGCACCTGTTTCGTCCAGCAGTTTACGTCCACACGTAAAATAAACAACAGTGACCTGATCCATGCGTTAAATTTTAGCTATATACCTATGTAAAATTATATTGACAATACCAAAATGAGGAAATTGAGAGAGATGGAGGTGTTGTTACGGTAGGTAACTAATAATTTGTTTAATGAAATGTTACTTTCTTCTTTTGTCTTTTCAAATTGTCATTGGTGAATATTTGGTTTTATTTCTATTCTTAAAATTTTCGATACAAAATTTACCGTATATTTATTTTTTTTTTAAAAAAATGAAAATATTACTTTATTTTAAAAACATTTACATACTTAAAACGTGGCAAATATTTGTAAAACTTTTTCGAAGCGATGGCATCGATATTAATATCAACGAGCAGTAGTGGTGTTGAAGAAACTATACGAAAATGAATAAAAGAGGGGAAGGGAGGGGGGGGGGCAAGAAGCTCGCAATCTTTAGTTTTAACCCATTTGTACATCGATCTCTTAGAGTCAAATTCGTCCAATTTTGAGCGTTTGGTTGCGCGTACACCACGCTGCAGCACAGTAAAAGCACAAAATATAAAAGAGAACATTAAAATACTTTGGAAATCATTAAATTTGACACGAAATCACACTTATATTTCTATTTTACGCACATTCTATTTTCCTCTAATACATATTTTTTTCATTAATTTAATTGAGAATAATGCATGCAGAGTGTTCAAACATGAATCATGAGTTGATAAACGCTGACTCCGCGAGTTGAAATATTAGAGCCTAACACAGAGCGGAGCGGCGTGCTGCCAGCGCGAAACGCGCGCTGACGCGCCTACAAACCTAACAGGGATACTTCACGCATTGCGCAATGCGTGAAGTATCCCTGTTAGGTTTGTAGGCGCCAATGCGCGTTCCGCGCCGGCCACTCGCCCGCCGCGGCGCGGCGTCTCAAGCAACTATTCCTCAATAGAGGTGTTGCACAGTACCATACGAAATTGAAGGCGTTCCAACATATTAAGGATGACAGGTACCCATCAAGAGTACGGAGCCCTTTAAAAACTACATACATGCAACGCTAGTCCTACCTTAGCACCTTACGGTATCACTCCAGACAGGAGGCCAACTCTTTGAGAATACTTATTCGGATCATTTCTCAGAGTTTGCAGTGTAATAATAAGGGCTCCCACTATAATAATTAGGGCTTCCACTTCCACCGGAATAATCGGAGCTTCCACTGGAATAACCAGGAAGCCGTTGTGGCGAGTTCATTGTTCGAGACGATGCTTTGATCTCTGTGTCGTATTTATCATTCGGTAGTTTTATCCTCTTATTCAGTCCATTCTTCAAACGAAAACTAGAACGGTTGACTTTTGAATCTTTGGTGAGTATCTCCGCCAGAGGACACAGTGGGTCGATCGGTAGGTTAAATAGGTTCCACGGCCTGCAAATTAACATAATCTGATCATGATAATTGCTCATTAGACTCAAAAAGGATGTAATTTTTAACGAAATTTACCAACTGAGCTCGATATTAGAGAGAAGTCAATAGAACATTTTGAAAGTGCTTGTTGGGTAAAGCTTTGAGCATTTTTTACAATAATATGGCATCAAAAAGGTTTGAGGAAGAGGAGGAGAATATATCTAAGAATGGGGTAAATGAGGCGCTGGGTGCAAAAATGGCATTTTATGGTTACAGTGTCTCAAAATCTCCGCTAACGATTCATCGATTATTATTAAAGCAAATATATGTATGTATTATTCTTTATGATAGATAGGGTTGAAAGCGTTAAATTTCTGGAAAGTCACACGATAGTTTCCTGCCTAAAATCAATTAGCACTGGAGACTCTGAAACATGCCCGCCACATCTCATCTAGGATCCTGGCACCAGTTTTAAGTGCCAGGCCCCAAGCACGGGGGTGGGGGGTCCGAGGGGCATCCCCCGAGATATTTTTGAATTTATAAATCCATTCGGACGTATTTTAAAGCTTCCATGACGAAGAGATGTAATAAGAACGGAAATTTTGAAACGCCGCAATGGAGATACGTGGTTTCGCACTTCTGTCGGTGCGATACGGGCATCCATCAAGTTTAAATAGTTGCATCAAGTCCCCGTCACCGCCGACCAACGCGTCTGTCGATGGAATCAACTACAGGTCGTATGAGCAGGGATTCAAAACGCCTTCAATTTTTTGAACGCAATACGGACATCCGTCGAGGTAGTATAGTTGTATCAAGGCGCCGTAGCAAACGCGTCCCATTGTTTATCGCGAATATAAGTTGAGGATGGAAAGTCATAATGCTTTCAATTTTGTTCATACATATTTTTGGGCAAAATGAGAGACGACGTGTCTCCATTTGCGACGTTGCAGACTTCCTTAGAAATTTTATCTTTATTTCGAGAAGCTGGTCAACATGAAACTTCAATTCTCCATGATTTTTCGTATTCGATAGCAGAGAATTTGGTTCAAAATTTAAAGTCTTAAATTTGGGTTGTTTCCCATGGAAGAGATAAAATAAGAACGCAAAGAGCTTGATGCAAAAACGGCTTTTTTCGCCCCCCCTCTGGAAGTTCTTCAGACTTTGTCTATTGATTACTCATACTTGAGCGCTTCTTTTCCCAAATTTTCAGACTCCCAAAAAATTTTGGGGGGGAGCTAGGGGGGGTGG